CTTTGCAAACCTTGCTTAGTTGTATGTTTTTTTTTTCTGAGTTTTTGAATCATTGAAACGGTAGCGGCATTGGCATTTTGCCTGGATCAGCGATTTTGCCTTTAACGACACCGCGATTTGGTCTCAATGGGACATGGTTTTTGTTCAATCACTAATTCCAAAACAAAGAGGATCAGGTCGTGAAGTGTTTTGCACGTTGATTGAACCTGATGCGTGCAGCTTGTTCACTTTTCTTTAGACTATGCAGATGTTGCAAGTACTCTTCCTTACACAAGTGACCCTGTAATGCTGCCATGAGAGCAAAGCAACGGAAACGAGGCAAGTGATGTCTTTCAATATTTCATGTGCTGTTCTGACGTTGATGCCTTCAATTCGCTTGTTAGAACTTTCTTAGAAAGTGGCTGACAACCTTCACAGGCTTGATCATTTTGGTTACAGTGTGGCTTGTCTCCGGGTTTGTTGCCTCACCCTTAGCTGACAGTGGATCCAAGTGGAGTTGCAACTTACTGCTTTTTGAGAGCCTGTTGCCAATCGAATTGGGTCCCGCATTTGTGCTTGAAGGTGAGCCCCAGATCTTTCTGTTCGCAAAAGCCTAGTCAGCGACATTGTGTGGGACCTTTGCGTGCAGTGCCCAACAAGGACCAAGAGGAAGAACAATTGCACCCAACTCACGTGTTGAGTGTTGTGCATGTCAGGCAAAAGCTTAAAGGTTGTTCCATTCAGCTGTTCCATTTGGTTTGGCGCAGGAACCACAAGGAATCAAGCCAGTCGAGGAGATGGGCTAGTTGACATCCCCAAAAATGTGCTGGTTTGAAGACATGAGACCCAAACATAGCGCAGTAATTCCTATGTTCCCAGTCAGCTCTGCTTGGTGATCTTCCGACGAATGAACTCTTGCCATGGAATTTGTAACAGACAAGGCCCTGTCGGAGTGCTTTCATAGCGCCTTTTTTTCAGCCCGCAGGAATCGGCAAGAGATGAGGCACACGGCTGTTAGCCAATTGAACTCCCGTTTTTTTCACAAAAGACACCTTCACTTTGTCCAATTGTTGAAAGCCGTTGCTTCACGTTTCATCTTCAACGCCTAAACCTCTTCTTTCAAACAACTTGGCTTTTGGTTCGAAGATTCCCTGCGACATGTGACACATGTGACGTGATTGCTCCAGACTTGTCATCTAGTGTCCAGTTTTGCTTCTTCTAACCGAAAGAAACAGAAGAAAGACAGGGAAGTCATCAGAGTTATGTTCTTTTTGCAACAGACTGCGCTCAGACTGCACAAGAAGCCAAGAACATCAATTCTATTTGAAGAGACGTTCTAGTTAGTCTTCATCCCTTATGTTCTCATTTCTCGGTTTGTTTTCATGTTTAGTTTTTGTTCCGAAAAAACTCTCTCCGCTATGAGCACCTGTGACAGGTTGATGCCTTGACTTCGGCGCGACGTCAGCTGAAACTTGCTTTGGACCAGCAAGAAACTGCGCAAGCGCAAGTAAACAGTGCGCAAGTGCAGGTAGACATGGCCGTGGAGGACTTGCGAAAGGCCAAACAAAAAGGAGATGAGCAGAAGGTGGAAAAGGCGAAGGAGGAAGTGAAAGAGGCGAAGAAGGAAGTGAAAGAGGCGGAGGAGAAAGTGAAAGAGGCGGAGGAGAAAGTGAAAGAGGCGAAGAAGGAAGTGAAAGCCCAGCAGGAGAAGGCCATTCGCTGCACAGCTTCAGTGGTGTCACAGTTCTCCCGAAAGATGCAAAAATAGATGAAAACTACTTCACATATCTTCACATTCTATGGTTCAAACAGTTCTGTTTCTTCAGTGAATACCCGCAGTATGCCTCCAAAAGATGAATGAATCCCAAATCACCTTACTGGAGATGTTCTGCTCCAGGTGCCAGGCTTGGAGAAGGCAAAAGAGGAATCCCTACCCTTACTTGAAAAGTTTGCCGGAGAGTTGGATGATCTTGAAGAGCGCTTCTTGAACAGCCGCATCAACAACAAAGAAGACATGCCTTTCTTGGAGCGGGATGACGTGATTCAAAGCATCGCGGAAGAGATGGAGAAGACGCGGCACTCGAAAGAAAACAAACCAAGAGTCGTTGCTTTGTGGAGCCCTCGAGGGACAGGAAAGACTTCAGTCATTCGACGCCTGGCCAAGATGGATGAATATGCAGAAAGCCGTCGATGTGGACGCTTGCTGATATTCGACGCAGCATGGATTCCCACACAAATGTCGGTTGAAGCCTCTACGTTGGTGTCTGCCATGGTCCTATGGCACCTTCTGCAGCTGCTTGACGGCTACGGCGTCAAATTGGCAGGGCAGGTGGTCAACTTCAACTACATGAAGTTCACCGATGTGGTTGAACTCGTAAAACGTAGTTCAACACCTTTAACTGGTCGTTTAAGCAGCTTTGAGGCTTGGGTTAGGTCATCTTGCAAGAGGGAGCGCGATGTTTTCAAGCAGTGGTGTTTGGTAACGGCTGCAGCCTTCAACGCTCAACAGGACTGTGCTTGCTTGGTGTTGTTGGATCAGACTGAGCTCCTTGTCAAACAAAGGCTGGGTCAGCCAAGCTCCTTTGGCGGAAGCAGATCAAGGTTCACCGAAGTGTGTAGCCAGTTTCCTCAGCAGATGGCTGTTTATTGCACAGGCACCGTCAATATACAGCTTGACTTACCCGCAGCGGAGTACACACGTCTCTATATTATGTCTTTACCAGCTCTTCGGCCATTATCTTTGGAAGGTGCTAAACAAGTCATGCAACAGCGGCAAATGACGCAATACAAGGATGAGGTGTTCAATCAAATATTTCTTTTGTCTGCTGGGGTTCCACGACTTCTGGGGTTTGTTTTTCGGACAGCTGGTGAATTAGCATCAACTATTCCGGTTGCATTCAACGCCATGTCGGGTTGCTTCAAAGAGGCCTATCAATCTGCGGCGCCTTTTTTTGATCAGCCTGAAGTTGCTTGGCCGTTGGTTCTTTGCTCAGCAGTCCGCTGGAAAGCAACAGACAGCAAGCTTGTGCCTGGTACATCAAAAAGGTGGGCAGAGGTTTTCGAGGCAGGAGCAGCATTTCCAGACAACGGTTCTGTGTTGATTCCACGAGTTTGGTGGTGTGAGGATGACGAGGTCGAGACTGCTTTGATTCGACAAGGTTTGAAGGTGAACATCAGCCTGGAAGGCCTCTTGCCAGATCCCGCCAAGTTGCTTCAGTCGATGTCTAAAGGCCCACTTTTCCGAGGGACACTGTGGGAAGAGCAGGTTTGCAATGCTTTGGCCGCCCGTTTTCATTTGTTCTGCCTGGCAGCTGACAAAACTCCATGCGACACCTACATACCTTTTCTAGATATCTATCCTACGACAGACGACCATTTACGCAGTGTATTGGAACAATTCAGTGTTTGCTGGAGCAACGGGGTCGAGTATCCAAAGAAGGAAGCAAGTGTCCTGGAGAGGGTCGGGAAGGCTATCAAGTCCAACAAGAACATCAAGAATGCTCATCACGACTTGCTGATCCCGGTAAAGCGAATTGCAACAGGAGACCTCGAGTACATCGCAGCACAATGTCGCTATGGAATCCCCAAACCTGCAAAAGACTTGACTAAGACATGCCAGGACAAAACCAGAAAACCCAGCAAGAATGAGACGAGAAATGACCTTCCTGACATGCCGAATGTACTGCTGCAAATTTGTTCTGAAGCTGAAGGAATGCAGCAGTTTGATCAGAGGAAAATGTGGGCAAAACGCCAACGGGAGAAGAGATACTCACTCATGAGTTGTGAAGCTATAATCGCGCAGCTTGCCGTGCTCCGCATCTTGTGATAAAATGGCCACACAGATACAGGACATGGACACCTATGGTCGGGGTTCGGTGAAGAAGTTTAGCACGGCAAAAATATAATGACAGCAACTATCAATAAATTTTGAGCAACCTGACGGGTCGAGGATGACATCGCGTTTCAGCCTTTCGTTCAAAATCCCCACAACCCCAGTTGACAGCGCGATTCGGAATGTAGTTAACCAACTTGCATTGTGAAATCGCGCTTGTCAACTCAGACGTTCACCAGATAGTCGTTGGGATTCCTTGGCTCAAGTTGCTTCGACTCCACAAGGACTGTTTCTTATCCATGTGCTTTTCATGAAGACATTTTTGGAAGTTGCTCCATTGCCCCAACTTCACATATCGCATTGCAACGAATCTGTGAGGTGAAGCTGGGGCCCAGCTGCCATGGCCAAAGGCTGCCTTCGCTAAGCGTCTTCTATGCATGGCCCTAAGCCGTGACACGGCGTGCACCTTGGGGTAGTGATGTTCGACTTGTGATGCCGGGCCCTCAGAGGGTTTTTCTTGATCAATGTGGTCATTGTGTTCCTTTCCTCCAATGAAATCTCCGTTTTCCAGAGACAAAGGTCTTCTACTTTGCTCAGCCAGCGACAAGCAGCTGTGCCGATGTCTTCGCACGCGTCAACATCTCAGCCTGATCTTCGGTTTGCTCAAACCACCATAGAAGACCAGTGTCTTAATAGTCCTCCGTTTAGTGAACAAATAGGTTTAGTTGTTATTTGAACCAAATTGTCAATGACAGACGCTGAAGAGTTGAGGCTCTTTGAGCGGTTTGGGAGCGGCCAGTGCCTAGCCTATGCCGATCCTTCAAGATGGTGCTTCACGGCATGTCTTAGCAGAGCGACGTGTTCAATTTCTTCCACTTGTGTCCTTTTGATGGGAACAGGGTAGACATTGACGTAGCATTTTTCATCATTGCCTCATCATAGTCAGCTCGCGTGCTGGGAAGCTGAGCTCAGGTGCCAGCACCGGCAAGTGGCTTCCAACTGCCTGACCTTGGAAAGCTACAGCTACCTCCTGGTGTATTTGTGACTTACTTTGATTGAAATGTTGATGTGGTCTCTAGCCGTGCTTCTGACGCCTTTCTTGATTTTGTTTGTGGCCAAGATTTGCTCTTTACATGTTCTGACATCAGGCAGTCGAGTTTGGTAGAGTTTACTCCATTTGTTCATCTTCTCGTCGATTTCAATGTCACTCGGACATGTTCCTTCGCAGTGACTGTCGCTGACCATGCACACCTTTGAATGTCCAATGCAAACACCAGCCGCAGCATGCATTGTGACTTATGCCTTTACTTCCAATCCGTACTCACTTGGTGCAGCGCTCCCCCACTGAAGAAGGGAAAAGGTCGAGACGTCGTCGCTCTTCAGCCGACTGAGCATGGCACCATGTCCAACACATTCGAGGCATGGACTGAGCCAGAGACCGCAGCGGTCGAGTCCTATCAGATCTCTGAAAGTGCCTTGGGAGTGTCCAGCAATGGCGTGACTTCTTTTCCATCTCATCACTTCTTCGACAATTTTCATCCATCTACTCACACTTCAGAACTTTTGAAAGTGGGTGGCTGTAGCCGGAATGCAAGATCGTGCAAGCGACATCATCGCATTCTGTTGATATTCCTTGGAACTGCAAAACCGTACTGTTTATGTATCAGTGCTCCCTCCTTTCTTGTTTTTGAAAGGTCGCACTTGTCACTTTCTTGTCTGGCTTCGCCCGTTATTGAGGTCGGAAACACATAGCGACTGCAGGCGACAGCGGATACAGCATATGAAGGCTGTGCCGCTGATGGTCATGTACGTGTCCCTTGCGCCTATCCTCATGCATGGCATTGCATGGCATTTAGTTTTAGATCCACCCGGCAACGGACAAATCCTTCACCAGTGAAGTCCCTTAACCTCAGCCAGGTGGCGATCTTGAGCAAACAACACCCGTGGCTTTGCTCCGATACAATTGCTGCGGGGCACCCAAGGAGTTGTGCAAGTTCTCTTCAATGGGTTGTTCAATATTAATCCTCACCTCAAGCCGTTTGTTTTACTTTACTTTGGGTTCACTCAATTTGTCCCCAGGTCGTTGGCAATGCGAGCTTTCCAGATTTTGACCTCGACGCCTATGATATCGGGGGTGAGCTCATTTGGGATGCGCCAAAGCCAGACTTGTGCCTAGGATGCTATTAACATCAGGAAGGTCATTACGTCCCAGATGGGAAATTACAGGAAATGACTGAAACTCCCTCAACACCCCTAGTTATTCAAAATTGTTTGAATACTTTGAAATGTCCCTCACTTGGACTGATGCTAAGTTCAGAGTAGAGGCAAACAATTTTTTGACAAAGAGGTCTAAAGCAATGAAGATGCTGAGATGATGTCAGTTTGTGATTGTGCTTGAGTTTTGTCTCACTGTATCTACCAGATTCTGCAAAGCTAGCGCTGCTAAGGTCCTTTGTGACACATTACATGGTCTACATGGCAAGGCCTAACTTGGGAGAAAATTCCAAGACACAGGATTTTGCTTTTGAATAGCTTTGCTTTAGCTCTAGTATTGCAGTCTGTGTGTTGAGAGCTGGCTACGCCGTCAACAGTGCGCAAATGGTAGGTGGCCTGTCAGGATTCCAACAAGATCGCAAGAGACAAGACGTTTCGAGGCCTCCAATGAGCACGGCTGTGAAAGTGCTTCTTGGCTGCGAAAGATACAGCGAGAATGGGGCAGGAAAGGAGAAGCTGAGAAGGGGACAACCAAGAAACCATGGACAATAACAAAAGACCAGGCCTCGCAGAGAACATGTGCTCAGATTTTTGGTGGTATTTTTTTTGGTTTGGATGTTTTTGTTGGTGTGTTTGCTGGCGTTTGTTGTTGGTGTTTTTTTGTTGGTGTTTTTGCTGGTGTTGTTGCTGGTGTTTTTGTTGGTAAGAGTTTCTGTTGATGAGAATCGGTGTTGGTAAGAAAATCTGATGGTAAGAAAATGTGCTGGTACAAAAATCTGCTGGTAATAAAATATGTTGGTAAAAATGTGTGTTGGTAAGAATTTGTGTTGGTAAGAATGTTTATGGCAGGACTCTTTTGGTAAGAATTTTGCGTTGGTAAGAATTTTTGTTAAGAATCTTTGTTGGTAAGAATGTGTGTTTACAAGACTTTGTTGGTAAGAATTTGTGCCGGTAAGAATTTGTGTTGGTAAGAATCTCTGTTGGTAAGAATGCTTGCTTGCAAAGCTCTGGTGCCACAGCCGTTTTTTCACATTTTCCAGGAAAACGATGAAAAGTGCCAAAATTCAACTTTCGAAGGTTTTAGGATAGTGCCACATAGTGCCACATAGTGCCACAGCCGTTTTTTCGCATTTTCCGAGAAAAGGATGAAAAGTGCCAAAATTCAACTTTCGAAGGTTTTAGGATAGCGCCACATAGTGCCACATAGTGCCACGGCCGTATTTTCACATTTTCCGAGAAAACGATGAAAAGTGCCAAAATTCAACTTGTGAAGGTTGCAGGATAGCGCCACATAGTGCCAGTGTTTTTTTTTCGCGATTTCAGAAAAAGAAACGGCAAAAAACGTTGAACTTCAATTTTCGAAGGCTTCAGGATAGTGCCGCATAGTGCCACAGTTGTTTTTTTAAGATATTTTTTTGTGTACGGGAATGATTTCAAAATTTCGAAACATGTCAAAATTTCATTTTCAAAGGTTTGAGAACGCCACATAGTGCCACAGCCGCTTTCACGATTTTCAAGAAAAGGGCGAAACGTTGCAAAATTGAATGTTCGAAGGTTTTAAGGTAGCGCGTGTAGCGCCAAGTAGTGCCTCAAAATGATTTTCGATGTGGGTAAAGTTGCGAAAATTACAAAATTCAATGTTTGAACGTTTCAGGATAGTGCCGCAATGTGCCGCATATAATAGCGCCGCATTGCCACAAATGTTTTTTCATGATTTTCGGGAAACCGGCAAAAAATTGCAAAATTGAAGTTTCGAGCCTTTCAGCGCCCCGTAGTGCCACAACCGGTTTTACCGATTTTTGGAAAACAGCAAAAGGTGCCAAAATTCAATTTTTGAAGGTTTTCGGCATGGCCGCATAGTGCCACGGCCGTTTTTCACAATTTTCGGGAAAACTGCCAAAAGTGGCAATTGAATTTTTGAAGGTTTAGCGTCGCCTTGTATTTTCGGAGTGGTGGTTTAGCTACGGTGGGTATGCGGGACCCCTTGTTTGCAGATGCAAAAGGAGGGGGCCAGGCTCATCACATAGCGTCATTACAAAACGGGAAGATCGCAAGGGTCGCAGCTACAAAGTCGTGGTTCCCAGGGCTAAAATAAGCTACAAGAAGAGGACTCAGCTGCAACCCAGGGCATCTCCAACTACAAAAAACATCTTCTTCAGAATGGTTGACCGGATATGACCCAGGGCCCCAAAAGTTCTGCATCAGCATTGATCCCTGGGTCTCTAAATATGCGGATCTGATTTTGTAGACATTTTGTAGAAGTTCCTTTCTCATATTGTGCACGTGCCGGTTCCCAGTGCAGGTGCTGAGTACAAGAGTCGCTCACAACCAAACGGCTGCCACTAAAGCGGCCTGAAGCTTGAACACTTTCCCACGATTTCCCAATCACATTTTCCCAAGCAAGCGGCTTCCACTAAACGCTTTCAAGCCTGAACATTTTCCCACGCACCGCGCATGATTGCAAACATTTTTTTTCACTTGGGAACATGTCCCCGAGGGTGTGCTCACCACAACTAGACCCCTCTCACCAAAAAGGATTCAGCCAAAAGTAGTATGTGGTCAGCATAGCATAGCTAAGAAAAGGGTCTCAGGTAATTAACCCTCTTGTATTGGTTGGTTACTAATGAGTATATATAATATTGTAAGTGGGTGGGCATGTCTGTCACACTTTTCAGGGCAAATCAAGCACAAGCGCGAAGTCTTGAAAGCTGCGGCCTGCGGTCTTGCGTTTTGAGGGGATCTTAAAATGTTGACATGTCCCGATCGAAAACTGCAGAAAAGACTATACTTGGATCCTCCTTTGTCCATTTTCGCGTTATTGATAGCGGACCTTTACTTTAGGGTTACTTGATATAAAAAATATCAGGCAAACAAAAGCAAGAAAGGATTATCGACATGATCATCAAAAAATGATGGCTATAGTTAATTAAATTCTGATGAGCCACGCATCCGGACGCCCAGAAAGGCTCTCCCTGGGAAAAAAATTGGCCGCATCATGTAAAAGAAAAAATATCCTTGTACCCCAAGAAAAAAAGCTTGTTTTTCTTTGATTGGGCCCGGCCTAAAAAATTGGGCGCCAGTCGATGCTCTGGTATAATGTTATTTGTTTTGGGTATGCCGTCCATTTTTTGTCTTGGCTACCAACGAGGATTACAAAATTTGTTACAAAATATTGTTGCGCTACAAAAGAAAAATGGCCGAAGCACGCACGGCGGCAGGAGAACAGGAACAGCCGCCCAAACAAAAGCTCCCGTGAAGGAAAATACGCCGAAACACCTAAAAGAAAATGAAGAAACCACACGAAGCGCATCCAAGCGGTTCTGGATAGAACAAGAGCGGTTCTGGATAGAACATGGACACGGATATAACTGCCCAATCAGAATTTTTGCATGACATAGCATCACGAATGGCCGCAGCGAGCATTAGAAAGCAACCTTGTCCGAAAGCATCGCCAAGGATGGAGGAAGGACTTGGTTCGCGCCTGTTTCTAGGAAAGGGCATGGAATAAATGATCAGTTTTTCATTCAAGCATCCCGGTTTCCCGCAGTCAGAAAACGACATTTTTTGACCGCAACTGCAACAGTGTTTGAACAGGTGTTTTTGGAAGTTTTTTGTCACCCCGAATCTTGAAAAGTTGCCAAAAATCAAGTTTTGATGCTTTTGCGAGAAATCAAGAAAATCGATTTTCTCATTTTCATCGAAAACGAAGAAAACATCAAAAAACAACGTTTTTGCACTTTCAGCCAAAATGCCAAAAGTGCTAAAAAATGTCGTTTTCCTAGAAAGCGTCCATATTTCAATTTTCGGCAAAACCTAAGAAAATGTTGTTTTTTAGTGTTTTTCCACTTTCGGCTCGGATCTGGCCAAACGACAGACACAGGCCTAAACGTTTTTCCTAACTGTAGGCGTACCTTTCCTGTACAAACAGGTCCTCTAACTTTCACATACTGTTGTTAGCCTGGCGGAGGGCTGGTTCAATTTGAGCCTCTTGCATCGAAGCCTGGGCCTCTTCAGTTCGTGTGCCTTGGTTGGCTTTCTTTGGGCCATTTGGTGTGGTTTGTTGCAGGTGATTTTCCGCGCTAAGGTGTTCAGCAGGTATAAGCTGGGCAGGTGTTGTGGTGGAGGTAACAGCCTGCGCTGGTTGCATTTCATTGGTTTTAGATTCTTCAGTGGAAGGGGAAGGTTTATGATCAGTTGAATTTTCTTGCGCTGGTTGACTAAGAGGTGGCGTGTGCTGTTGCCGAGAAGACTCTCGATTTTGGGGTAGGGTGTTAGATGCAGGCTGCACTACTTGCTTATTCTGCAGTCGAACATCTAGGGTGCGTCTGTGCTATGGACCCTGGTACATCTCCCTTTTGCCCTATCGTCCCTGGATCCTCCCTTGAACTGTTTGAAACTCGGGCGCATTAATGGCAGAGCCAGCTGATATGACCATCTAATAGTGGTGGTGAGGTCACGAATGCCGTTATGGCCCATGCGACCTTGGGAAAAGAGCTCTTGGAGTCCTGCTTTTTTTCCTGTTTGGGATCAACGCAACAGGCTGCGCAGAAGTGTTCTTTGAGGCCACAGGTGAAAATGCTCATTTCAGGCTCCATGGCGCATCTGGTGACCCGCCTCCGCTCCTGTACCGAGCGCTTGGTTTCGATACTGCGCGGCTTGTGATGCTGTGAGTCATTAGGAAAGGCAAAACCAGCGCCATCCGTAATTTCGTTTGGTTGCCGCCAGTGATTTACCAATGCTCCAGTCACAAAGGCCGGAAGCCAGACAAGAACACGTCCGACGGGGAAAGCAAAGAAATTGCTAGTTTGCTGTCTGACCCATAAAACTTTGAGAATGCCTGTAGGTTCTCGTTCCTTATTGACTTCTTCCGTCAGGTCTTTGGCGCTTGCCAGGTCTTCTAGGATGAGCCGACACCAACAAGCCTCACTCATGAAAAGATGGAAGTGTGGCTTGGATTCAAGGACTTCCCATATCGGCCAGAGCATGCGAACTAATTTTTGCGCCACTAGCTGAGCCAAGACTGGGATATCCCATTGCCGATTCAGCACTGTGGTGAAAGCAGTCTTGAGGTCTCCGCATCTCAAATAGGCCTCAGCCTGCATAGCTCTCGCAACTTTAGAGCAATGCTTCGTGGCCTGTTCGATGGTGACCCGACAATATGCCCAGTGCTCTGGAGCCTGTGAACAGAGTTCCATGAGTTCAGGAAGCAGATCATCTGGGACATGAGCATCATTGGGCTCCCTTCTATCCTGGAGCATCTGGTGCCAGTTGGAGGTTGTCAAAGGCTCGTGACACCATCAACTCCTCAAGGTCCTGCAGTAGTGAGCTTGTTGCGAGTCTTCCAGGTACCTCGCGTAGCGGATGCTTCGGCTTCCTCCTTACTTCGGTCCTTGTTCCGATCGGTGGTACGAGGGATTTTGATAGCCGGAGCAGCAGCAGCAGGTTGAGTTGGTTGAGTAGAGAGGGCAGCAGTGCCCTCTCTGCCAAGTTTCGGCCTCTTTTGGTGCCCGTGTTGGCCGCGGCCTTGTTTCGTTCAGCATACGCCCTTGCAGGTGCTACATCAATCGCAAAATCAAACTTGGCACCCATCTCCGGCAGCATTCTCCATGCATCGAAGAAAAAGATTCCCGGAAGTGGGCGAATGCCGCAAGTCTCCGAGGCGACATCAATGGCCTCCGAATGCGGCGCCACATGTGCACTTATGAGACTCGGCCCAGCTCTATGTCCTGCTGCCGGGGGAATGACAAAAAACTTTGGCGATCGGCAGCCATACCCAAAGATGCAGACCGCACCATCATCCTTTTGCGCTGGCAATACCTCTGATCTCTTTTTGGCTGCGCTGGCAAAAAAGTCGCGCCAAGTGAGAAAATCTAGAAACCCAAAATGCCAAGAGTGATCACTCGAGCCACTCCTAACAAACCAAGGTCCTAGGGAAACACCCAGATCAATCAACAGCCAGCGTAAATCCCCAAAGTTACAGAAGTGCAAAACACTCAACAGCAGCAGCTCAACACAAGAGTGACAGGAGGCCCCGTACAACGGCAACGTGGCTGAGACAGCTGACAAACCTTTTCGGGTGCACAGTCGGTCAAAACAAAGGAAGATCTATGTCTTTACAAATAGATCTGCTAAGCTTTACATAGGTTCATCACTACTTTACAATCAAACATTGATGAAGCTCTAAGTGAAGCTGGATGCTATGACATGTCGTGCAACTACGTGACGTGTGCTTCGGTCTTGTGAAGTTCACTGTGACCTTGAGCCACAGTGCAGCGCCATTGCGCTGTCTTCCAATGATCCTTTGATCATCCTCGAAGGATAGGCTAGAAAGCCATTACTGCAAACAGCAACTCTCAAAAGTAAACTTCCTTGCGTTAGACAGACAAAGTCCCTCTAAGAAGTTGTAAACGAATTCCACTGATCTTCTGTCGTGAAGTCCAAACGTTCCTCAACGTCAAGTTCAAAAGAAGTTCCAGTAGCTTGCAACTGCAGTCCAAAAGGATCACACGAAAGGTGTGATCCTGATCCATCAACAGCAAATAGACATCCCTTAATGTCAAATGAAGTTGAAACCAGTCGCAATGATAAAGTGCTAAATCCAGGAAAGATTCCAAGTCACTTGACATGAAATGAAAATTCACGGTATGCACCATCGAAAATGCAAATGCCAGCAATGAATGTATGTCCCTTGACATCAAAACAAGCCGTGTCCAATTGCAGTGGAGAAAACTGATCATGTCGTTTACCATGATCACAGAACAAGGCCGAAACAAGATATCCCTCGACATCGAGGTGAGCCACGCATCGTCGTGCCATCCATGACAGTGAACGGTCAGTGAAATGTCATGGACCCAACATATCCATAACACAACATGGACCTAACAACAAAAGTTCTCCCAAACCCAAATCCTCTCGACAAGGTCAAGTCAAAACTGTTGTTGTTGTTGTTGTTGTTGTTGTTGTTGTTGTTGTTGTTGTTGTTGTCACTTGCATCCAAAAATCCCACAACTTTCAGAAGTAACGACATCCGTCGTTCGTATCAAGAAATTCCTTAACTTCAAGACATGACGAATGCAATCGTGAGGTTCACGACAATGCCAAACTATACACATACATATATATATATATATCTGGAAAGCAAGTTGGTCGCACATAGAGAATATCCTTTCACACCCCCCTTCGAGCGACTTGCCAGCACATCCAGAAATCTGTACCATACGTATCCGCCAGCCAGTTTGTATAACAAGCCTAACACCATCCACATGCAAAAACATTGCGCTCACTGAAGAATGATGATGCCACACCGTTCCAGGTGAAAATATTGCACTTAATACCATCCATGCTCATAGATTCACTGTTCAATCCGCTTTGTACCTGCGAACGAATTCCGACTCATCCGCGCTGCCAGATGCCTGCTTCAATGCCTTCTGAATCTTCTGCACGCGCGCACAGAAGTTGTAAAAATCTTTCTGTTGACTGCCAGTTGAAGAACCCATGTGCGAAGCCACCCGCTGGACATAATCAGCATCCAGGGCAACGCAATCCCCATAGCTGTATCCAAGGCGCTTTCCTTTACCAAAGTCCAGGATCGTAGCAGCCCATCTACGAAAGCTGCCAAGAGACCTTGGCATGTCATCTCCGCACAATCGAACCAGCTCTTCATCAGTCAGTCCAGCAAGGATCTTCTGATGATTCGCCTGCGAATCACCAACACAAGGCACCAAAGGAGCCTGAGAACCAGCCGCAGTGGATGCCTGATGGATTGGAATAGCCCTCACATGATTGTATCCCAAATCGCCATCAGTAGCTCGTCTTTTCGACGAATCGCTCATTCCACCAACCAGCTCCCAAGCTTGCTGCATTGAGGTTCCATCATTAGATCTTGCAGATTGAATCAAAGCATCAGCCAGTCTCTGCTTATCGTCAGGACTCAGCGAATCGAAGTCAAATCGATCCATGGCGCAGCAACGAACCGACTCTAACTTCTACAGTGCAAATGTCAACCTAGAGACCTAGTGCGCTCAAAATTTAGAGTCTAGCTTGTCCACCATTGAGGGCGACAACCGCTGAAACATATCCGCCGTCCAAAGGGCCGAGTTGAAAATATATTTCAATATCTATAAGCATATCCATATATACAGAGCTATATACATTTAAACACGGACAGTCAACAAGCCCCCGACATAAATGCCGAGCATAGCTCACCAACTATCCCGGACGGTTAATAAGCCCCCGACTTAAATGCCGGGCATAGCTCACCAACCATCCCAAAAAAAACTAAAATCACTCTTCTCTCTCGCTCTGCGCAAATCATTCTCTCGCCATCTCTATCAACATGTCTTAGACATCCAAAACTCATTGAGCAACCTCTTGAAACCTGTTGCCTTTCATGTCATGCACTCATGCTACAATCCTAAAAGATTAGTCCTACATGCAAAACGTGGTAGCTACCGAAAACAAAATTGCATTCTTTCACATCTCATTTCGAGATAAACAAAAGTAAGTCAAAACAGTTCCCACTCTCCTTTCGAGAGTCCAATGTCCAAGGCACCTCCAGGCAGCACTTTGCAGCGCAAAACGTTCACATCTCATTTGGGATACTTCAAACTATAAGTAGAGCTATATCTTATCCTTAAGAGAAGCTACAGGCGTGCTTGAATACTTATCCCCGCCGATCCAAACCACAGATCCGCGTGCACCTCCGTGAGGCTTAAGGGGCGCGGAACAAAAGTACGAGGGGATTGCGAGACTTCCTCAAAACTTATTCCACCTGTCCCTTAAGGACAAAAACTCAAGGCATGCTTGGCTGCGTTCACAAGCACCTTAGCCAGTTCTGCGGCGTAAAATCCAGTCTTCCCACTTTACCTCATTGAAATCAGCATGGGTCTCATGTTCACACTTGGAGTATGGTCGAAGAGATTGGATGAACCGTTCATTGGAACTCGGGAATCCCAAGAGCTCTCCAATACTCTTACCCCCTGTCGAACGGAGACCAACCGTGCACAACTTCACAGCTGTAGCATAGTTGCGACCACATTCTTTCAGGGTATCCTTGCAGAGATGATAGTTCCAAATCGCATTGAACCATGGGAGTTCGAAGCTTGAGAATGTTCCCAACAACATGTACTGCTTGACATGTGGAAACGAGGCAAACCATTCCCAATCTGCAGCAGTTGGAATGTCACGACAAAAATTCCTCAGTGGACTCCCGGAACTGGAGACATGGACCCATGAGTACTTGCACTTGAGATTTGCAAGATGAGCCTCCAAACCTGAGAACACTGGCTTCTTCTCCATATCCGCAGTAATCCCAACATAAGGAATTCCCAACTGAGCGCAGACCTGAGAAATCGAAGACTGGGGTCGGCGACAAACCTCAACCGTCACAAACCTCATAGAGATATTCATCA